GTCGTTTCTTTGCAATGAAGTGGTTAGCTTGGCCTAATTTGAGCATTGTAATTGACTTCTTGGCGCTTCTTCCTTCCTGATTATGCGCATGCAGTTCACTACTAGAAACAAGAAGGAACTGTTAAACGGAAGTGACATACAAATAATATGTTCGTACTTTCAGTAAATTAAACTAGCAATGATGAAAAGGAACGGTCCAAATTGCTTATAGAACTTGAGGGTTTTTTCAAGTAACCTGGTACCCCTATTTAGTAATGTTTTTTTGTGAAACGGATGTAAAAGCTTTGTCTTATCTCATTAATTAAGAAGGAGCAAAACAATGGTTTGAAGGTTACAGGACCACGCGGGTCCGAATAGAAGGGATCGCTCTCCCGATACTAAGTTTCCCAAAAATCTAGCCCCGGCAACTATCCATATTTTCACCTCATCTCTAATCGTTGCCACCACTCTCATGGGTAGGGAGGCCTTGCCACGGAACACCAATTTGGGCCATTCACAATGTGGGTACCAATCAATTCCCGCCTTTCATTTTAAGGGGTTATTTCAGACCATTTTGTTACGTGAATGTGGTCACTAATACTCTCTCTATTTTTATTTACTCTGCATATTAGGTTTGGCTGAATTCAAACTTCATAAAGTTTGATCAAGTTTATATAAAAAATATAAACATTTACCATAACAAATCTATATGATGAGAAAGTACATTCAATAATGAATCTAATGCTATTAATTTGTTATTGTATATGTTAATATTTCTGTTGATAAACTTTGCCAAAGTTCACGAAGCTTGACTTTGATCAAAGCTAATACGCGGACTAAATAAAAACGGAGGGAGTATGTAATAATATATGGTTGTGGGCACCATTGCATAGGTCAAGGTGATCCTCCTTTTCAAAAGAAAAATATTTTTACGGCTTAAATTTATTTGGAAGGAAGTACTCCTACGTCGCTGTAAATTCTGGTGTAAAAAAAGTGTGTAAGTGCTTTCAGCCAAGGAGTAAAACACGCAAAAATATTTTTCGGTACCATGCGTCCGAAGCGAAAGGAATTTTCCGGTACCAAACTGCCGGCTCACGACGTTTGGTGGTGCTATTGCCCGCCTCTGCTTTCATCCATTCTTTGACTGGACGGCAGCTATGTACACACCAGTACACCACACTACACAAATTGCACGCCATTGCACGCCCGACGACAGACATGAATGTTTCTCCGATGTCCCTGCTGCGTCATATGGTTTCCCACGTGCCTCTCGTTTCCCCCGGTCAAACTGCAGAGATATAGGAGTGACAATGAGAGACGATGGACTCGCATCCCACCAGAACACAGGACGATTCCCTTGCGCGGCCATAGAGGAAAAGCAATATGGTGCGTGCACGGTTTAAGATCTGGTTTTCTTCTAATGAACTGTAGTTTAAGAAAGATCTACTACTTAAGTAAGTAGTTAGTACGTGGGGGTTGTTGAGATACTACCTGTCTGGCTGTCCCTACGACGCGATGAAGGGACATGTGGATCGAATCATGGCAAAATATGTTGTTTAGGCAGACGATGTTTATTTCATAATATTTCGTTAGCAAGGCTGGTTTGTATCGGGTAAGCTGTCAACTGCTACAATGATTGATTATTACAGTACATTACAGTGAGAGAAGGAGAGCGGATAGATATATCCGTTTCAGCACAATTAATATGGGACCGATCACGGGCCGACATTATTGTTTTGTTTCATCAATGTTTAAGGACGTGTTTGGTTGTCATTCTAAATTTGTCACATTTTGTCATCCCACAAATTAGACAAGTTTGACTGAGTTAGTCCTTGTTTAGTTTGCAGCCACACTTGTGGCAAGATTACTTTCATGCAAACTAGACTCTACATGTCACTAACTTGTAAAAGTGCGATAGGATTACCTCAAGTGTGGCAGAGGGTGGCTCCAATTTTACTTGCCTAACCTCAGACATGTGGGGCAAAAAAAAGTGTGACAAATGATGACAAGCTTTAGCAAACAAACCAAACATGCCATAAGACTCCGACGCGGCCTTCGACTTGCCGCGAAGCACCGCTCTCCCCTGAGCCCCGAGTTTCACCGTGCATGCAGCAACCGCGACATGTTCAAGCTTCTATCGTCCCTCCGTGAGCTTGCCATGCCTCTTTCCGTCACACCTTCCCCCTCTCTTGTGCTAGCCTTCTCACAGAAAGATTGAGCAGAGGGGGGTTGAAATAATCAATGTTGTGTGGTTTACATTTGTCATTCCCGTAAGAATTATCAGAATTGTGGTATTTGGAATCCGCTAGAGTGGCACCTCCCTTAATTCCAATTAGAAGCTCCCGACAGTCAATTACTAGAAATTGGTTATTGGGAATATTTTCTAAGTAGTCTACAAAATCAAAATATAAGCAGGGTTTCCATGACTAGGAGGGTGGCATGCACAATCCCGGAAACAGAAGCAACTCTTAGCCTTTGGTGGATTTGTTCGGATCTGTTCGTCTTTCGTCTACGTTCGTATATCTTTACGTTGGATCCTTTCGATGTACGCTACTCTTCATTGACGGCGGTTGCTGTTCTGGCGCGCTGGTCCTATGGGGCCTTAGGACGACGACTTCCCGACTGTCTATTACAATAAGTTTTGCCTGGCTTCAGTGATTGTAGTCGTCGCTAGCTGGTCTATAAATCTAGATGTAATTTTTTTGTACACGTTTAACATATATGAAACAAATGAGTAACATTTTTTCAAATATTTGTGTTTGATGATTACATTTTAATACACATTCTACTTTTTTGTGTAGACCATGAAAATTTTGTATACACGTTTGATATTTTTTAAATACACGATTAACATTTTTTAAATACATAATCAGCTTTTTTTCATGCGCATTGTATTTTTTATACATTTTCATATACATTAGAAACATTTTTCTATACACATTTTACAAATGGTAGCTTAACATTTTTCAAATGTTTTATGAAGTGTATTTTTTGTAATATATATGTTTATAATATTTGGAAGTATAAACAAAAGTAAAGTAGAGAAAGTAAAAGACAAACAAAAAAGTGGGAAAAAACACAAGGTTGGGGGCTCCCACGAGCTGGGCCGGCCCAGCCTCGGGCTCCCTCATGGGACGCTGCCCTACGTCTCGCG